AAAAAAAAAAAAAAAAAAAAAAAACGAAAAGTACAAACATTAACAAAGAGCCTTTTGGAAGGTAATTTTTAAAATTTCATTTATAAACTTTAAAAAAGAGGAAGAACAATATTACATATTATTTATAGGTCTATACATAGGTAACAAATTTATTTTATAAACATACATCAGACTAAAGATTAGATTCAGAATAGTGATGACCTCTGTGAAATCAGTAAGGAAAGTGAAGAAAGGTGGATATCTAAGGATTAACTATATATGTACATTTTAAAAAACCTAAAGTGAATATTGCAAACCTTTGCCAAAAAGGTGTTTAATAAACAAGTATTTATAATATTATTCTCTGTACTTTTCAATATGCTGAAATATAATTTTAAAAAACATTTTTAAAGTAAATTAAGTAAGATGCAATATGTAAGGTACAGGAAGGCAGAAATGGTTGTTTTACCACAAAAAATATAATGTTTAAGTAGCCCAGCTCAGATCAAGGTTCTATACTAGGAGAAAAAAAAGGGGGGGACTCCCCAGAGTACCACTTCCAACTGGACTTCCTAAATGGACACATTTTCCCTCAGTATAAAGGCAAGTAGAGAAACCTCCAAATGGACATGAGAATTTCATAGATTCGAAGGGGTAAACTAACCCTGGTGAGAGTGCAAAAGCCCTTTCCCAACTGAAATGAAAACACAACACAATGCCAAGAGCTCTGTTGACTAGTGGATTTGAAAAAAAAAAAAAGAGAGAGAGAAATAATTCAAAAATAAAAAATAAAAATAAAAGAGTTAAAAACAAAACCAAGAGCTATCAAAAGAATTCTACCATAATTAAGGACTGTCCACAGCCACCATGGAACCAGAATGCTCTATCTGAAGCTCCTCTTCATTTATCAAACCATGCAGCCTTTTATTTTTTTTAAGAGACAGGGTCTCATGCTCACTTCAGCTGCACATATATTAAAATTGGAACAATACAGAGATTAACATGGCCCCTGAGAATGGATAACACTAATTTTTAATTTTAAAAAAAATTTTAATTTAAAATTTAAGAAAAAGGGCCAGGTGCGGTGGCTCACACCTGTAATCCCAGCACTTTGGGAGTCTAGGCAGGCAGATTGCCTGAGCTCAGGAGTTTGAGACCAGCCTGGGCAAAACGGTGAAACCTGATCTCTACTAAAATACAAAAAATTAGCTGGGCGTGGCGGCGTGTGCCTGTAATCCCAGCTACTGGGGAGGCTGAGGCAGGAGAATTGCTTGAACCCGGGAGGCGAAGGTTGCAGTGAGCCGAGATCACACCACGGCACTCCAACCTGGACGACAGAGTGAGATTCTGTCTCAAAAAAAACAAAAAAACTTAAGAAAAAGAGAAAGAGAGAGAGAGGGTCTTACTCTGTTGTCCAGGCTAGAGCATTGTGCAGTGGAGCAGTAATAGCTCATTGTGCCTTGAACTTCTGAGCTCAAATGATCCTCCTACCTTAGCCTCCTAAATAGCTAGGACTACAGACACACACCACCATGCCTGGCTAATTTTTCATTTTTTGTAGAGACTGGGTCTCACTATGTTGTCCAGGCTGGTCTCGAACTCCTGGGCTTAAGCAATCTTCCACCCTCATCTTCCCAAAGTGCTGGGATTATAGGTGTGAGCCACTATGCACAGCCCCATGCAGACTTTTCTATGTCTTCTCTCATGGTTGCACCTAAACTGAGCCTTGCTCTCTGGTCTATAATCTTTCCCAACCAGTGTCCTCCCCAAATACACCTGACTCTCAAACCATTTACCTATCCCAGTGATTGAGTCCTGTGCTAACTGCTGTCATGACCTTTCGCCTGAGTGAACTACAGCCTACAACTATTACCTGCTCCAATTTGGCTGTATAATTTGTTTTTTATTCATTCATTCCTTATCTATCCTCTATTTACTGAACCTAATTGTCTTGTACACATGTGCTAATTAACACAGGTTAATTATTGTACTATTCTTTCATGTTAAAAAAAAATTGTGAGCTTCCACAAAAAACCTGTACAGAATGTTTATAGAAGCATTACTCATAATAGCCAAAAGGTAAAAACAACCCAAATGTCCATCAACAGACGAATGGATAAACAAAATGTGGTAGAGGCATACAATGGCATATATTCATAAAAAAGGAATGCAATACTGACTGATACATGCTATAACTTAGATGAACTTTGAAAACGCTATGCTAAGTGAAAGAAGCCAGTCACAAAAGTCTATATATGATATGATTCCATCCATATGAAAATCCAGAACAGGGAAATCTGGAGACAGAAAATATCTTCGTAATTGCTTTGAACTGGAGAAGTGAAGGGGGATTGGAGGTTAATAGCTAAAGGGTATGAGGTTTCTTTTTCAGGTGATGAAAATGTTTACAATTGTGATGATGGCTGCACATATTTGTGAATTTAGCAAAAACCAAGAAATCATACATTTTCAATGAGTGAACTGTATGATATATGAATTATAACTCAACGAATCTGATTTTTAAAAATTGAAGGCTGATACATGCTACAAGATGTAAAAAACTTGAAAATACTGTACATGTGGTGCCTCACACCTATAATCCCAGCATTTCGGGAGGCCAAGGAAGGAGAATTGCTTGGAATCAGTTCAAGAAAACATTGTGCAAAGTTAAAAACAATGCAAGTGAAAGAAGCCAGAAACAAAAGGCCTCATGTTATATGACTTCATTTATATGAAATATCCAGAACAGGCAAATCCATAGAGATAAGAAGTACATTAATGGGCTGGGCGCAGTGGCTCACACCTATAATCCCAGCACTTTGGGAGGCCAAGATGGGCGGATCATTTGAGGTCAAGAGCTCAAGACCAGCCCGACCAACATGGTAAAACCCCGTCTCTACCAAAAATAAAAATAAAAAAAATTAGCCAGGTGTGGTGGCACATACCTGTGATACCAGCTACTCAGGATGCTGAGGCAAGAGCATTAATTGCTTGAACCCAAGATGGAGGTTGCAGTGAGCTGAGATTGCACCACTGCATTCCAGCCTGGGCAACAAAGCAGGACTCCATCTCAGAAAAAAAAACAAAACAAGTACATTACTGGCTGCCAGGGACTAGCGGGGAAAATGGAAGTGACTGGTTAATGGGTTAGAGGGTTTTTTTGAGATGATGAAAATATTCTGGCTGCTGGGGCTCAGTGGCTCACACCTGTAATCCCAGCACTTTGGGAGGCCGAGACAGGTCAATCATTTGAGCCCAGGAGTTCAAGACCAGCCTGGGCAATACAGTGAAATCCCATTTCTAAAAAAAAAAATTACAAAAATTAGCCAGGTGTGGTGGCGCACACCTCCAGTCCCAGCTATGTGAGAGGCTGAGGTGGGAGGATCACTTGAGCCTGAGGTAGTCAAGGCTACAGTGAGCTGAGATTGTGCCACTGCACTCCAGCTTGGGCAACAGAGTGAGACCCTGTCTCAAAAAAAATCAAAGAAAAAGTTCAGAAACTAGATAGTGATGATGACTGCACAATACTGTAAATGTACTAAATGCCACTGAGCTGTATACTTTGCAATAACTGAAACTGTGAATCTTAGGTTACATGCATTTCACCACAATAAAAAAAAATGGAGGAAAAAGACAAGAAATATAAAGAACTACTATAATAATGAAAAAGAATGACAGAAAGGAGGTTTCAAAGAGAAAAACAAATAAATAACCAACCTGGAAGTGAAGCAGGATACTGACAAAGAATACTCTTTGCATATACTTCTTCTGAGGCAGGATCAAATGAAAGGGGAGACATTGGTGGTAAAAGATCTACAGACTTAAAACAGAAAAGTCACAATTTTGAAGTAAACATATTTGCTAACTACTACAATAACAATGCTGAGTTAATCTATGAATAGATTATTTTCTCCCTAAGAAAGACAGAATTACCACGCATGTATCAGATAACTATTTTTATTTGTTTATTTTTCTTAAAGACAGGGTCTCACTCCCTCGTCCAAGCTAAAGTGCAATGACATTATCATAGCTCACTGCAGCCTCAAACTCCTGGGCTTAAGCAGTCCTCCCACCTCAGCCTCTTGAGTAGCTAAGCCTACAAGGACATACCACAACACCCAGTTTTGGGGTTTTTTTTTAGTAGAGAAGGGGTCTCACTATGTTGTCCAGGCTGGTCTCCAATTCCTGGCCTCAAATGATCCTCCTGCCTCAGCCTCCCAAAACAATGGGATGACATGTGTGAGCCACCACGCCCAGCCCTATAACTATTTTTAAAGCAAAGTACAACATTAGGAGCAAGGGGGATTACTTAGTCCTTGAATTTCTCAAACATCACAGTACTTCACATCAAGAGGAGTCTTGCTTTCTGGCTGGGCACAGTGGCTCACGCCTGTAATCCCAGCACTTTAGGAGGCAGAGGTGGGTGGATCACCTGAAGTCAGGTATTCAAGACCAGCCTGACCAACATGGTGAAACCCCATCTCTACTGAAAATAAAAAAATTAGCCGAGCATGGTGGCAGGCACCTTTAGCCCCAGCTACTTGGGAGGCTGAGGCAGTAGAACCACTTGAACCTGGGAGGCAGAGGTTGCAGTGAGCTGAGATCGTGCCACTGCACTCCAGTCTCGGCAACAGAGCAAGACTCCGTCTCAAAAAATAATAATAATAATAATTGTTTTCCTTTTAATACAATCCTTCAAATCTAAAAATATTAACTGTAAATGACAACAGCAACTTATGGATATTATATTATATATATATTTAGAAAAATTACAGAAACCGTAACATAGAAACTTTAGACTCAAATGCAAAGATGACATATATACAACATTTCTAGGTCATTCATAACACAATAAATTCACAAATTGCCATTTATTAAACTATTCTCCAAAAGGCAAATTGGCTGAGTGCAGTGGCTCACACCTGTAATCCCAGTACTTTGGGGAGGCCGAGGCAGAAAGATCACTTGAGTCTAGGAGTTTGAGACCAGCCTTGGCAAAGCAGGGAGACCCTCTCTATAAAATTAAAGAAAAACTTAGCCAGGCTTGGTGGTGCACACCTGTAGTCCCAGCTACTCAGAAGGCTGAGGTGGGAGGATTGCTTGAACCCGGAAGTTCAAGGTTACAACAAGCTATGATCATGCCACTGTACTCTAGCCAGCTATGATCGTGCCACTGTAGTCCAGCCAGCTATGATCGTGCCACTGTACTCCAGCCAGCTATGATTGTGCCACTGTAGTCCAGCCAGCTATGATCATGCCACTCTACTCCAGCCTGGGCAACAGAGCAAGACACTGTCTCAAAAAAAAAAAAGTGGGGAGGGGAGAACAGGGGCAAGTCAACATTACTTACTGGAGTCCAACCTTTAATTAGACTGAAAGGAGACAAACCAAGAAATTCTTTCCACTTTTTATGCCATTCTCCTTGCTTTTCAACAACAGATTGTCTTATAGTTGTGAGATCATCTTTTATTCTATACCTATAACAGCATAAAAAAACTTTATTCAAAATATGAA